ACATACTCTATAATACCTTTTGTAGTGTGGATGACATGCCCAAAAGATATCATTGTCTTCTTGTCAAACACCCAATGTTCATAGAAATCTAGCTTGTAGGTGCTTGTTCATTCAATCAATCCTTTCTTCACCAAATCTTGAAGTGAAGCCTCTTCAGCATGAGTTAGTCACATATGCCACAACATAATGGTGTCAAAAGAATTATCAGCAACAGTAGTCGTTCCAGCCACTGTACTGCCCTAAAGATAATAAGGATTGTGATGACAGATTCCCTTCATAAAAACTAGTGCTCTATGACATATCCTCAGATCTCCCTCCTCCATAATTATCTTGTAGCAATTTTGACTCTAAAGCCCAACTAACAACAAATTCTTCCTGATATCTGGAACGCGTTTAACATCAGTCAAATCCCTCGAAGTACCATCATGCCTGATGATAAATATAATTTCTACATCAATAATACGATAAGTTTGATTGTTGCCCATAGTCGTTATACTGCTATCCATCTCCTTGTACATTCAGACCCATCCTTGATGAGGATAAATATGATATGTAGCACATGTATCCATAATATAACATGAATCATCTGTAAACAAGCTGTGTGAAACTGTAGATAACGATACATCTGAATCTGCCTCTGCAATGACATTAGCTTTCGCCTCAGATGCAACTTTCTTTTCATTCTCCTTCAGCTTCGAACAATCTTTCTTCTAATGATCACTCTAAACAGAAAGCAACTGATTTTTTTTTAAGACCGCACCCACGAGACTTGCCCTGCTTCTGGGAAGTGTCACTGCTTCCACCTTTATTTGAGCAATTCTTTTCTTCTTCTCAGATCTGTCACATTGAAGTATAAGTGTCTTGGCTGATTCCATATTTGCAGACTCTTTGTTCCTTCTACAGTGTCGTAGTCATTTCACAATAATTCAAGATCTCATTCCTATGAATGAGTGTCATATCAAAGTTTTTGTACTCATTCGGGGGTGAATTTAACAAAAGAAGCTTTTTGTTTTCACCTCTAAGCTCCTGGTCCAAATTTAACAGATCCGTCAATAGCTTATGAAGCCATTCAAGTGCTCATCAATAGTAACCCTCCGTTTCAGCTGAAATCTATAGAGTCAACACATCATATAGAGACGATTATTTACTTAGTGAGATATTTATTCTTCAACATCCTCCACAATTTTCTTGTTGAAATCTCCATCATCACCCCATTTTTTATTTTTCGGGTCAAGCAATTTCGGATCAAATCACAAGCACTCATGTTCACCTTCAACTATTTTTTCTCCGACATCTCCTTAGGACATCCTTCGTTATCTAGAACTTCCTCCATATTCAGAGAATGCAGTGCATCTATCACCTTACTTAGCCATGTGCCAATGTTTTCTATCATCAAATTTTGTCATATCAATTTTGACGGGATGTGTAACCACCTGATGAATTGATTTTTTCACTGTTATAGTGGATGTTGGAGAACTTGACATTATGTTATCATTTAACTCTGTTACTATTAGAATGTTTTTCTTCAAAAAAATTTCTCCCGGAGAAACAAACATGTCACTACTTTCAATAATTTTTTTTTCTTTTAGAAATTTTATTTTTTTAAAAAAAAAGAGTTTCTCTCTTTTTATACATTTCCCAAAGGTAAAAAATTTCCTTTGCTCTTTGCGTAACCCACGTTAAGCTTTCAAAAAAATCAATTCCCAAAAAGAAGCTTTACTTTTCCCTTTAGCCTTCTCTTCCTAAATCCTTCGAGTTCAGAAGAAAATATTACATCAGAACTCCGCACTTAAAGTTAGATGTGTCCAATTAAATCATGCTACATGGCGGCGACAAAAAAATAAAAAAAATATGTCTGGTAACACAAGAGAATATTTCTCCAGTATTATTCAGGTGTTATTGTGTGTTATTCAGGTGTTATTATGTGTTATTCAAGTGTTATTGAAATGTTATTGTGTTATTATAATATCAGGAATATTCTCATAACACAATAACACCTGAATAACATACAATAACACAGAATAACACGAGAAGAATATTCTCCTGTGTTACCAGACTGATTTTTTTTTTCCGTCACCTTCATGTGGTATGATTTTATTGGACTCCGAACGTAACTCTACGTGAGGAGTCATGATGAAATATTTTTTCCAAGCTCAGGGCTTTCCTCCTTGCCCTTGCTGCCGAGTTGCCCAGAGCTGCTACCAAACCCGTCTGAAACCACCAGCTGGCTGTCGGAATCCTTCGTTTGAGCCGCCGCTATGCCTTTTGCCGCTGCACCGGTCTGCCGCAGGACAAAAACCCACCGAATGAACTTAAGTTGCGTCTCTACTGTCGGGACTTGGCAAAAACTGCCGAATCTCTCGGCAAAGCACTTTGGATAAAATTCGGGCAACACATGCCATACTTGTTGCCGTGCTAAATAGTGCCTTGATCATGAACCCAAGGCTCTGATATCAACTGTTATGCCGAAATAATGTGAAAGCGTATAAATCACACAATAACAATCAAACACAAATATTTACTTGGTTTACGTTAAATCGATTCACCTAAGTCTGTGGAGAGAGATTTCACTAGCACTCGATGAATAGAATGAATGACCGCTTGGAATTAAAACTGAACATTTCTCTACATCATACACACTAGAGCATATAAGGAAAAAAAAAACAAATCATTTAAAATAAAAGCCATTAAATACAACATATTTTTTATTGTGGTAGCCGGTCGACCTTAGAGCGACTATTCGACATACTTGATTATTGTTCCTTGGGGATCTATGTAGATCTGCAGGGGGGTTATCGAGAGAGTTTCATATTAATACTTGTGAGATTGTTAAGGGTGCTAGACCTTTGATCAATTATTGGTGTGATTGCATGAATGCTCGTCCCTAGTTGGCCTAGGTGGCCCTTAGGTTATATGACCTTCAGTCGGTTAGCAGCCCTTCGGTCGGCTGGTCGTCTTACGCCAGTCATATTCATGAAAATTTATAGCTTTTCCTATGAAGGAATTCTCTGTCATTTATCTTTTAGATTGCCTTGAGATTTGTGTAGGTATTTTTTTTATGTTTAAAAATGAATATAGGTTTTAAAATAGTTTCTGCGAATTTTTTATAACTTATGTTTGAGAAGTGAATATTTACTGTGATTTTATTATTGTTTTAGGTAAGGAAGAAATATTGGACCATATGAATGTCTTTTTTCTCTCGTTTTGTTCGCCTCAATAAAGAAAAATGGCGTTATCCAATTTCGTACCCTACATCAGCTGTTTCGTTGCCTTTCTCCGGTCTCTTCTATAATTTCTGAAGAAGTACTATTTTGTATTATTTATATAACATTTTTTAAGTAGAATAGTAATTTGTAATTTTAAAATTTATATAAATATTAAATATTTTTTTTTACTTTCTAATTTTTATATAACATTCTAAATACATTAATAATGGGTTGCTTTTATTTGTTTAGACGAATAATGGGCTGCCTCAGAAACTAGATGAACTGGGGGATGAAAATTCCGGGAAATAGTATATATATATATATTATATATATGAGCCAAATACCCCGGCTTTTTTGGTCGGTATCCATGATATAAGACCTCTCAGATTGGGGGTTCGAATCCTCTCTCATACGGTTGACCTTAAGAAGATGATACTTGAATTATTAGGCGTGTGTA